TATAATGGGTTAGATTATGAACGTATTCCATTAGGGACAGCTGGCATCCCATTGGGATGATGGGTTTATTATTATTAGGTCCACACTATATTTCAATGTTGGGAGAAAAGTATCTCCGTTTCAAGTAGATTTCTCTTTGGTAGGAGCTATGCTCTGGGTGTTTTCAATGTGTTTCTAAGTGTTTGGGGTTTTGTGGCCATTTCCTGGATTGGGGCTGATGGCTCTGGTGCTGCTCTTCTAGCTGCAGCATTAGCCAATTGCTCACCCTTTCTGTGGTGTCTGATTTTGGGTGGCTGGGATTTTTATAATTGTCAAAGGTTTTGGTTTTAGAATAGCTTCTAACAGCTCTGACACATGTTGGACATCTTTTATGGGTTGCCCCGAGAAGGTAAAATACCCTCTGTCTTGCTATAGCATCCCAAAGTCATGGGAACTCCAAAAGCATAGCAGCTGTCAGTGTAAATGTTTGCAACTTTGTATTTTGCCAGTCGACAAAATACAGATGGATCAGGGCAATCAGTTCAGCCCCTTGAGAAGGTCTGGCTTGGGGAAGAGGACAGGTTTCAGTCACCTGTAGGAAGGAAACCACAGCACATCCTGCTCTAAAAGTTCCATCCTCTCCTCTTAAATAAGACCCATCCGTATTCCATTCTATTTTAGCATTATCCAGTGGCATCTCTTGTAGGTCTGTCCTGGGGGTGAGAAGTCAGTCATCAGAACAGTTATGAGGGGTCTTGTCAAAAGGGCCTCGCAAGAGAGTGGCCAGATTAGGATTATTACAGTGGGAAATAGTAATATTGGAAGACGGTAAAAGCAAAATCTAATAAGAGGCTAACCAGTTGACAGATGTCGAGTATGATGAGAGTTTAGCAGGGTCTCAAGAGAATATGGCACAAAAATGGTAAGAGGGGAGCCCATAATTATGTTTTCAACAGACGGGCCATGGTTGCTATTGCTCTCACACAAGGAGGCAGCCCTCGAGCCATAGGGTGCAGGTATTGGCTGTAATAGCTTATAGTTCTCTGATGATCACCGTGTTTCTGGATCAGTACCCTGGATGCAGTACGTCCAGTTTCGTGTATGAAAAGGGAGAAAGGCAGTTTGTAGTTTGGGTGCCCTAAGGCTGGGGCATCAGTCAGGATCAGGGCAATCAGTTCAGCCCCTTGAGAAGGTCTGGCTTGGGGAAGAGGACAGCTGTTCAGTTGTACAGCTGACTGTCCCTCAGGAGTCCACAAGATGGGATCAGGTTGTTCATTTTTTAGGTATGCCTACAGAGGTTGAGTCGTAAGGAAGACATTTGGCATTCAGTTTCTACACTAGCCAGCCAGGACCCAAAATCCTTTAAGTCATTTGTTAGTGACAGGCACTGGGACAGCTAAAACTCTAAAATTCCGCTCACTCTGTCACGGTTAATACTCAGTCCTTTGAGACAATACGCCCCCAAATACTTAACTTGTGCTTAGCATAGGTGAAGTTTGTGTTTGGACACTTTGTGTTGATTGGTGGCTGTTTGAGTATGCACTGTCTTCCTTGGGGGAAGATAGTGTGTCTGAATGAAGGAGAAGGCCATCTACCTACTGAATGAGTGTTGAGCCCTGGGGAGAAATTAAATCCTCGAAATCAGCTTTTAGTATTTGGGAAAAGTAAGCGGGACTTTCTGTATACCCTGGCATTACGGTCCACATATATCGCCGTTCTTTCCAAGTAAAGGCAAACAAATACTGGCTGTCTGGCTCTACAGGGGAACTGAAGAAGGCACTGCAGAGGTCTGCAGCTGAAACACTGGCTGGTGGTGGGCAGAGCTGATGGAAGGATATGTGGGTGTCCGGGAATCGTGATCTTATTCAGTGCCTTCAAGTCCTGGTCAAATCTCCATCCTCTCCCACTTGGCGTCTTTACTGGGAATACAGGGCTGCTGCAGGGACTCCTGCAGGGAATACTGAGCTCCCTTTTCAGATAATCTTGTGAGATAGGGGCGATTCCATCGATGGCTTCCTGCTGTAGAGGATGTTAAGTCTGGGTAGGGGTTTCTTCAGGTTTATCTCTACCTTTATTGTAGTGGCTGAGAATATTTTCCCTCTATCTGTATTTCACTGAGACCATAAGTGGAAAGGGACATCTGGAGCAAGTGTTCTGCTTCTGATGTTAACAGGAAAATTGAGGAAGCTAAAAGGAATTTTATTGCTTCCTACTTTTTATTCGAATGTCTTCTGTTCTCCCTAATATTTCCTCCTCTCTCTCCATTTCATTTTCCTGGTCACAAGGTGACATTACTAGTACTAAATCGTGGTACATTGTTGGGACATTTAAAAATTTCCTTTTCTTTTTGGTCCTGCAGCTCCAATTTTTAAAAATTTCCCCTTTTGATGAAAACGAGAGAATGGCATTATGGATGTTGAGGAGGTCAAGGCCCAAAAGCTTGCCAAGGGCTGCAGGGCATTTAGAAACATATGGGACCTACAGAGCACGTCACACTTAGAGCCTGTGGTGGGGGAGCTGAACCCAATGAAATGGGAAGGTCCAGGTTTGGATTTAAAACATAAGATTGTTTTATTAGACACACCCACCATGTTAACTTTTTTATTACTCTGAGGAATGGGGTTTCTGAATAAGCTGAGAATTTCCAGAGATGTAGCCACGCCTGTGTCAGTAAAGGCCGCTGTCTCTCACAGTTTATTCTATTAATCGCTCCCAATTTTTTTGTCACGGTAGAATATTCGGAGATGTGAAACTCCTGTACGTCCTCGGAGCATTTCCTCCCTTTTCTTTCATGTCAGCCTAACACAATCCCTTTTAAGGGCCCTGGTCTTTTACAATAGCAATAGCCTGGGAGGGAAGGATTCTCAGACCATTAAAATCTTTCTGGGGCTGAGAAGTTTGAGAAGTCAACTGCTTTAGCTGTACATGTATAACTCCAGCAATCTTCTGCCTTTCTTTTATCACAGGGTGAGATAATTGGTCAGCTAGGTTAACTAGTTCATTAGTTCTTTCTGTGGCATTTTTCAAGGGTAGCTAAATCATCATTGAGTCTGTTTGAGAAATTTGCATTTCATGATGTATAATTTTTATTGTTTTCAATGCAATGATATCCCAGAATATTGTCTAAAAGTTTTATCAAAACGTGTGAAATAATCTAAAACTGATCTTTTGGGTTCTGGCAGCATTGCTGAACAGTATTTAACAGAATCACTGCTCATTCCCATGGGGCTTTACATCTGTCTTCTGGATGTTGGGGGGCTGGTTGTTGTGGCTCTATTGGGCCTTCAGGGGTCAAATCTGTTAGAGGCTCTGACCATTGTGCTCTTTCTTTCTTTCTTTCTTTTCTTTCTTTCTGACAGAGTCTCACTCTGTCCCCAGGCTGGAGTGCAGTGGCATGATCTCGGTTCACTGTAACCTCCGCCTCCTGGGTTCAAGTGATTCTTCTACCTCAGCCTCCTGAGTAACTGGGACTACAGGCGCACACCACCATGCCCAGCTAATTTTTGCCTTTTTAGGAGAGATGGGTTTTCACCATGTTGGCTGGGATGGTCTCGATCTCTTCACCTCGTGATCCACCCACCTCGGCCTCCCAAAGTGCTGGGATTACAGGCGTGAGCCACCGAGCTCAGCCCCATTGTACTTTTTCTAGCCATTCTTAGCTTTAACTTCTGAGACCAACATGTGAACTGGCTGGTAAAGGTCTGAATGACCTGGGTCACAGGTTCTGATAATGAGCTCAAGTTCTTGGGCAAACCTGATTGGATCTTTATGGGAGTCAGGAAATTCTTTATGCCTCATAATTCAGCCTTTGGCCAAGGTTGGTAGATAATGGCTGGGTTTCCCTACCTGTTAGCAGTTGTTCCTGAAATGGGGTGAGTGAGAGAGAAGTCCCTATAGGATCCCCCTTTTACACATCTTCCAGATGAGACACGGCCACTGGGCTGTCAAGGAATCATCAGCAGGTGGTGTCCTCAAAGTCAGATTCCTGACTGCCTTTTGTTGAGCGAGTGTTAGACATGAAGGAGAAAAGAGGGACGGATCTGGTCTGGGGAAGGTGGGAGAAGTCAGGGTGGAGTGGGAGTGTAGGTGGAAAGTAAGGGCTTTGGAGGATTCTGTAAGAGACATGAGGTGAGAGAGGTCTTGATGAGCACTTCTAGGTTGCTTGTTTGCCTCCTATAGAGAAACGAGGCAGTCTTCATCCTTTTGCTACTCCCTGTATGCCACTGGAAAGAACTCTCCCATTCTGGTCACTTATTTGTTGTGTGGGCATTTTCCATCCTAGTTCTCAGGTACACTAATTTGGGCATCTCAAAAGATCCCCATTTAGGTCATTGTAACTTAGAATCTGCTTTAGTTCTAGTGGTCCACTTGGTTAAATATTTGCAAGACTCTCTAAAGGGGGAGTTTTGCGTTCTGCAGCTGCAGGGGTCTTAGAGGCCTTGTTCTCCATGATTTAGAGCTCCTCTTTGGAACTGGTGAAGTCGGGTCATGTGTCGGACCCAAAATGTGCTGCTTACGGACCTGGATTTTCAAAGCCATTACCTCCTGAACCAGTTTGGTCTACTGTGTCATGGCTACCTGGCACAAATGTGTCAGGGGCTCAAGGTGCAGGGAGGGTTGGTTCCTTATATGCACCTGCCAGCTGAGATGAGACCCTAAATATGTTCTTCTGAAAGGGGAAACCTATTTGGAGCTGCTGCACTTCTTAGGGAGCATTTCTCCCAGACACCCTCATGTGATTCTCAGTTCCTGAGAATGCCCTAAAAGACTGAGGGGAGCAAGGTGCTCTATTTCTTCAGTGCGGAAGATTCCACACTCATGAGCTACAGGGCTCAGAGTTGGTCAGATCTGATAGGGAAAAAGACCAAAACAGACACACACACACACACACACACACACACACACGCAGAGAGAGAGAGAGAGAGACAAGCAACAAAAACAGTTAAGCAAAACTAACAATGATCACACAAAACATGATTTCTGAGCACTCCAAGTGTAAGCAGGAAGTTAGCACCAGCTGGTTGTTAATGCTAATTTTAGTCATTTAAAGAACTTGTAAGACAGAATTCAAAACCAGTTTCTTATCTAGTGATGGGGCCCGAGCTGGAGACCACCCTCTGCCAATGCAGAAGCAGACAAACTCCCACAAAAAGAGAGGGTTTTTGTTTTGTTTTTCTTTACAGCAAATAAACCTCAGATCCCCAACCAAGAAACATTGGAAGCTCAGGGGTCCCTGGATGAAAGAGGTCCCAGACTTCAGCGAATTGTCCCGTTTTTCAGGCTATAAGGTGCCCAAGCCAGTGCCAAGCACTGAGAGGCAGAGTGCTGCAGACTGGGTCACTTCCACTCAGGGTCCCTTCATGGTTACCAGATGTCTATCAAAGAGAGTGACAAAACAAATCTCAATCACGTCAGGAGCTTTGCCAGCGTTACGGACGTGCCCAGGAGATGGGTCTGTGCTTTTCTCCAGAGGTGACTTTGAGGGCTCCAGATTTAAGAGGGAAAGGGCAGGATATTGAGAAACAGTTTTCACATGAACAAAAGGGGGCAGAGGAAAAATATGGGGAATCTGCATTTTACATAAGATACAACACAGACAAAATGGGGTAGGGGAGCAATCAGTTAAGCATTTATGTCTGGCAGGCCTGGGTAACTGCACCTGTAAAGATAAGCTGTTAATTCGCTTTGCCATAGTGAAGTTTTAATAGCTTACCAGCAGTTTTCTTTTCAGCAAAATGGGGGAGGGGTGTGGCCTTTCATCTCATAGCCATCTTATTTAGGAACCAAAAGGGGAGGCAGGTCTGCATGATCCAGTTCCCGGCTTGACATTTCTCTTTGGCTAAATGAGATTGGGTTCCCAAAATTGTGTGTGTGTCTGTGTGTCTGTGTCTGTGTCCTGGCCCATAGTGGCCCTGGCCGGTTTACCCTAAAGGGAAACCCTGCCACTGTGATGAGTACAGAAAAGTCTTTGGAGATTATGAAAGGAATTAGTTAGCTTGCCATAGGTATAACAAGGGAAGGGTACCTGGAGAGCCCCAACCCATGGGTTTGTGCCTCATTCCCATGTAACATAAGCAGCAGCCTGGGGAAACAAAATCAAGCTGCAGGCACTAATAAGGTAACTAGCACAGGATGTGGCTGGAGATATGCCCATAGCTACACAGAAAAATCTCTGGCCCATCTGGATAAAAACTTGCACAGACCTCTGGCTCACTCATAAAAGAAAAAGGCCCAGCATAAAAGTGTCCTTGTCATTTGTTTAGTCAGTGGGCTCCCAGGGAAAAGGTTCTTCTCATTTTTTGGGCACGGGCACAGGGGGCATTCTTCTTTCCCTTTTTTGGGCTGTGAGTCCAGCCTCTGAATCATCACTTCAGCCCCTGATTAGTCTCAGGTCAAGCTTTCACTTCAACTCCTGATAGGTCCTGGGCCAAGCTAAGCAGCCTCTATGAATCAGCACCTAATTTATCCTGGGCCAAAGTCCCAGGCCAAGCTTTCTAATTGGTCCTGAGCCAAGCTAAGTCACACGTTCTCCAAGACAACCTGCAAACTAAGCATATCTTCCCCTTCCAGTTCATAAAAACCCCAGAATGGGCCTTAAAGTAGGCATCTGGTTTAGGACGCCCTCTCTGCTGGCAGAGGGTTTTCTTCTCTGACTTATTAAACTTTTGCTCCAGCCTCACCTTTGTGCCTGCACTCCTTAATCTTCTTGGAGGTAGGACAAAGAACTCTGGGTGTTATCTCAGACTCTTATATCTTGGTGCACTGCCAAGACTACAACATATTTTGGTGCATTGTCTGGGAAAGAGGGAATTCATCTGAAGGGTGAGTAAAAGCGAATCATTAACACTTTTTTCTAAGGCTTCTTGTCTATTCTAATCTAGTTTCCTTTCATAGAAGGCCTAGCCATCAGAGATTGGAAGCAGGTCCGAGGGCAACTGAAGATTTCTGGCTGGGACTATGCTTCGGTGTTATCTGAAGGTCCTCAGACTAACTCCAGTCCCCAGCAGCCTGTCAGTTGTCAGCCCAGCGATTTCCAGTGTTTTCCTATCGCATTTTCCTTCTTTCTTCTTGTGGCTATCATGTCTCTTACTCCTTCTTTGTCTGCAGTGTTGCAGGTGGTTTTGGAACCTAGGGATATAATTCTGCTGGGTAAAGTTAGTGTCTTAATAATCAGGAATGTAGTTCAAAAAGTTATTGTTAGGCCAGGTGTGCTGGCACACACCTGTAACCCCAGCACTTTGGGAGGCTGGGGCAGGTGGATCACAAGGTCAAGAGATCGAGGCCATCCTGGCCAATATGATGATATCCCATCTCTACTAAAAATACAAGAAATTACCTGGGCATGGTGGCATGCACCTGTAGTGTCAGCTCCATGGGAGACTGAGGCAAGAGCATCGCTTGAACCCCAGAGGCAGAGGTTGCAGTGAGCCAAGATTGTGCCATTGCACTCCAGTCTGGCAACAGAGCAGGACTCCATCTCAAAAAAAAAAAAAAATTTTTGTTGGTAACTTCCTAGAAACAGGGAATTCAATATTTCAGTCTAAAATTTTACCTATTAAGGCCTCTTTATCCCTCAGTAATAAACATTCATGGTAACATATGGGAGGATACGTCACCCCAAGTGAATATATTTCTCTCCATTGGGTTCTTTTTTCCTTCATATAAAAACATTGGCTAGGTATGGTGGCTTATACCTGTAATCCCAGCACTTTGGGAGGCCAAGGCAGGCAGATCATGAGGTTAGGAGTTCGAGACCAGCCTGACCAACATGGTGAAACCCCATCTCTGTTTAAAATACAAAAATTACACAGGTGTGGTGATGGGTGCCTATAATCCTAGCTACTTAGGATGTTGAGGCAGAAGAATCACTTGAACCCAGGAGGCAGAGGTTGCAGTGAGCCGAGATTGCGCCACTGTATTCCAGTCTGAGTCACAGAGTGAGATTCTGTCTCAAAAGAAAAAAAAAAAGTTCAGGGAGGAAAAAGAAGATGGCGCAGTAGGAGAAACTCAGCATTGCAGCTCTCAGTGAAGATGCAGAGGGTGTGAAAGCAGCATTTCCAGATGGATCTTTGTTGCCCACAGAACAGGGAAATTCCCAGGTGTAGGAGAGACACAGGACACCAGCACAGCTGTTTTGGCTGGCACGGCCGTTTCGGCCGGCGCCGCAGTGCAGCAGCACTCCACACAAAACGCACTGGTCTGGGTGCCCTGTTAAACCAGCAATCTGAGATTTGGGAGGGCAGATTAGCATATGCATCTGATTAAACAGGACTTGGACAGTGAGCCAGACCAGGAGATTCTCGGGAAGCGACGTTTGAGCTGGCGCAGTGGGTTGCTGCACAGGAAATCACACAGATCCCAGTGCCCTATCAGCTGGCAACTGAAGCACCTGGGAGAGAGTCAATCGTTCAACTTAAAAAAAGAAAAACAGGGCTCTGAGGCAGGGAGCCAGGTGATCAGGCTCAGCGGGTCCCACCCCCACAGAGACAAACAAAACAGCGATTCAAAATGCTCAGGGTTGAGAGTTTCACTGTGGGGATGGTGCAGCTCGGTGGGGGAGGGGCGTCCGCCATTACCGAGGCATTTGGACCCTACTGAGGTACACTCCCATTGTTGACGCAGCCTGCCGTTGCCGAGGCAACTTGCCATAACAGAGAGACTCCGCCAACAGGGCAGAGCCCACAACAGCACATTGGAGCCCATGGCAACAGGGCAGAGCCCACGGCAGCAGGGCGGAGCCTCGGCAGGCAAATAGTGACTAGACTGCCTCATAGCTGGGCAGGACAGTGCAACGGATACTCATAAAGAAAGCCCTAACTCCCTGAGACAGAGCATCTGAGGAAAAAAAGGGGTTTTATGAGTTCTGCTGCAGCAGACTTAAACGTACCTGCCTAAAAGCCCTGAATGATCAATGGAGCTCACAGCTCAGCACTTGAGCTCCTATAAAGTACAGACCGCCTCCTCAAGCAGCTCCCTGACCCCTGTATATCCAAAGAGTCACCTCAAAAAGGACTGATCAGACTGACATTTGGTGGGCATCATTCTGGGACAAAGATAGCAGAAGAAGAAACTGGTAGCATCCCTCACTGTTCCGCAGCTGCTACAGGTGTACCCAGACAAGCAGGGCCTGGAGTGGACCTCAGCAGTCGTAGAGCAGAGGGGACTGTTAGAAGGAAAACTAAGTAACAGAAATACTTCATCATCAACAATCTGGGCGTCCACTCAGAGACCCAATCGAAAAATCAGCAACTACTCAGATGACAGGTGGATAAACCCACAAAGATGGGAGGAAACCAGTGCAAAAAGGAGGAAAACACCCGAAACCAGAACACCCTGCCTCCTACAAGGGACCAAAACTCCTCACCAGCAATAGAACAAAGCTGGATGGAGAATGAATGTGATGAAATGATGGAATCAGACTTCAGAAGGTGGGTAATGAGAAAATTACCATGAGCGAAAAGAACATGGTCTAAATCAATGCAAAGAAACTAAGAACCTTGAAAAAAGATTTGAGGAAATGATAACAAGAATGGACAACTTAGAGAGGAATATGAATGAATTGAAGGAGCTGAAAAACACAACACGAGAACTTCACGAAGCATGCACAAGTTTCAACAGCCGAATTCACCAAGCAGAAGAAAGAATATCAGAAGTTGAAGATCAACTCAATGAAATAAAACTAGAAACCAAGATTAGAGAAAAAAGCACAAAAAGGAATGAACAAGTCTCCAAGAAATGTGGGACTATGTGAAGAGACCTAACTTACGTTTGACAGGTGTACCAGAATGTGACAAAGAGAAAGAATCCAAGCTGGAAAATACTCTTCAGGATATTGTCCAGGAAAATTTCCACAACCTAGCAAGGCAGGCCAATATTCAAGTCCAGGAAATACAAAGAACACCACAAATATATTCTGCAAGAAGAGCAACCCCAAGGCACATAATCGTCAGATTCACCAGGGTTGAAATGAAGGAGAAAATGCTAAGGGCAGCCAGAGAGAAAGGTCGGGTCACCCACAAAGGGAAGGCCATCAGACTCACAGCAGATCTCTCAACAGAAACTCTACAAGCCAGCAGAGAGTGGGGGCCAATATTCAAATCCTTAAAGAAAAGAACTTTCAATCCAGAATTTCATATCCAGCCAAACTGAGCTTCAGAAGTGAAGGAAAAATAAAATCCTTTGCAAACAAGCAAGTACTCAGAGATTTTGTAACCATCAGGCCTGCTTTACAAGAGCTCCTGAAAGAGGCACTACACATAGAAAGGAACAACCAGTACCAGCCATTCCAAAATCACACTAAATGCTAAAGAGCATCAACATAATGAAGAATCTACAACAACTAACGGGCAAAACAGCCAGCTAGCATCAAAATGGCAGTATCAAATTCACACATAACAATATTAATTCTAAATGTAAATGGGCTAAATGCACCAATCAAAAGACACAGACTGGCAAATTGGATAAAAAGCCAAAACCCATCATCTCACATGCAAGGATACACAAAGGCTCAAAATAAAGGGATGGAGGAAGATTTACCAAGCAAATGGAGAGCAAAGAAAAGAAGGAGTGCAATTCTTGTCTCTGATAAAACAGACTTTAAAGCAGCAAAGATCAAAAGAGACAAAGAAGGCCATTACATAATAGTAAAAGGATCGATACAACAAGAAGAGCTAATGATCCTAAATATATATGGACCCAATACAGGATCACCCAGATACATAAGGCAAGTTCTTAACGACCTACAAAGAGACTTAGACTCCCACACAATAATAGTGGGAGACTTAAACACTCCACTGTCAATATTAGACAGATCAACCAGACAGAAAATTAACAAGGATATCCAGGGCTTGAACTCAGACCTGGAACAAGCAAACCTGATAGACATTTACAGAACTCTAGAATATACATTCTTCTCAGCACCACATCACACCTACTCTAAAACTGACCACATAGTAGGAAGTAAAAGACTCCTCAGCAAATGCAAAACAACTGAAATCATAACAAATGGTCTCTCAGACCATACTGCAATCAAGTTAGAACTCAGAATTCAGAAACTAACTCAGAACCGCACAGCTTCATGGAAACTGAACAACTGGCTCTTGAATGTTGACTGAAGTTCTTCCAAACCAACGAGAACGAAGACACAACATACCAGAATCTCTGGGACACATTTAAGGCAGTCTCCAGATGAAAATATATAACAATAAGTGCTCATATGAGAATAGTGGAGGGATCCAAAATTGACACCCTATTGTCAAAATTGAAAGAGCTAGAGGAGCAAGATCAAAAACACTCAAAACCTAGCAGAAGACAAGAAATAACTAAGATCAGAGCAGAAGTGAAGGAGATATAGACATGAAAAAGCCTTCAAAAAATCAATAAATCCAAGAGCTGGTTTTTTGAAAAGATCAACAAAATAGACAAACCACTAGTCAGATTGATTAAAAAGAAAAGAGAGAACAACCAAATAGATGCAACAAAAAACGATAAAGGGGAAATCACCACAGATTGCACAGAAATTCAAACCATCATCAGAAAATATTACAAACAACTCTATGCACATAAAGTGTTAAACCTGGAAGAAGTGGATAAATTCCTGGACACTTGTGTCCTCCCAAGCCTAAACCAGGAGGAAGCCGAAACTATGAATAGACCAATAACAAGGTCAGAAGTCGAGGCAGCAATTAAGAGCCTACCACACAAAAATAGCCCAGGTCCAGATGGATTCACAGCCGAATTCTACCAGACACACAAAGAGGAACTGGTACCATTCCTTCTGAAACTATTCCAAATAATCCAAAAAGAGGGAATCTTTCCCAAATCATTTTATGAGACCAACATCATTCTGATACCAAAACCCAGCAGAGACTCAACAAGAAAAGAAAACTTCAGGCCAATATCCATGATGAACATAGATGCAAAAATCTTCAATAAAATATTGGCAAGCCGATTGCAACAGCACATTGAAAAGCTTATCCATCATGATCAAGTAGGATTCATCCTGGGGATGCAAGGCTGGTTCAACATACGCAAGTCTATAAACGTAATTCACCACATAAACAGAACCAAAAACAAAAACGGCATGATTATCTTAATTGATGCAGAGAAGGCTTTTGACAAAATTCAACAGCCCTTTATGCTAAAAACCCTCAATAAACTCAGTATTGACGGAACGTATCTCAAAGTAATAAAAGCTATTTATGACAAACCAACAGCCAATATCATACTAAATGGGCAAAACCTGGAAGCATTCCCTTGGAAATCCGGCACTAGACAAGGATGCCCTCTTTCACCACTTCTATTCAATATAGTACTGGAAGTTCTAGCTAGAGCAATCAGGCAAGAAAAAGAAATAACGGGTATTCAAATAGGAAAGGTGGAAGCCAAATTGTCTCTACTTGCAGACGACATGATAGTATACCTAGAAGACCCCATCGCCTCAGCCAAAAAAATCCTGAAACTGATAAGCAACTTCAG